CAAATCACTCAGCTAATGGATTTTATGGTTCAAGCGAGGATTCTAACAGGAGAGAGGGTTGGTGAAACAGTTGATATACCTAGATTGTTGATTACCCCATCAGACACCAGATTGCCTTTCAAAATGAGAAGAAGGCAACTACCTTTGGCTGTCGCTTTTGCAATGACAATCAACAAAAGTCAAGGACAATCACTATCTCAAGTAGGTCTTTATCTACCAAGACCTGTCTTTTCACATGGTCAGCTATATGTAGCTGTTTCTATAGTCACTTCAAAGAAGGGATTGAAAATTTTGATTTTAGACAAAGATGGGAAGCCTCAGAAAAAAAACTATGAATGTAGTTTTCAAAGAAGTTTTTGACAATCTTTAAGGTATGTATTTTTTAATTTTTTGATTAGATGGTAGTTTATGTTTTCATGTGTTTCTTTATTAAATATTTTAATTTTGATGATGCAGATTTCAAGCAGACTTATGTTCTCTACGGTGGAAAAATGGTTGCTGGTTGATTCAAAGTTTTCTATTCATTATGCAAACACCATTTGTTCTTTAGCTACAAACAAGAATATCAACAATATTTGATTCGTTTTTATTTAATATAATGTTTTATATTTATTACTATAATACCATACATCTAATAAAAGTCAAGAACTATATAACACTACCACCGCAATATTTTCCAAGTATAAACAATGGAAAACTATACTAAATGGGTTCTCTAATCTAACTCATCCTTCTACACAGTCCTACTTCTTTCACTTTAATAATTACTTACAATAGCTTAGTGATTACTAACCTCTGTAATAATCCGGTTTTTATGTCGTAGATGTTACTTCAAGTGCTTCTTGATTATTTCTTCTTAACCGCTTCTGCATATTCCTTATATCCCCTGTCATTTGTTTCCCAGTCATGAGAAATTAACAATATAAAAAACAAGTTCAATCAGGTGAATTTGACTTCTGTGATTACAGCTTTGCTATGATGTTGATAATAAATCAAAAACTATAATAAGGAGTAATAAATGACCATACTGGACCAAGAAACCGTGGAGCTAAATCTCATGATTTTTGTTTCATCATAACTATGATCAACTAAGCTATGCTATTAATCTAAGCAAAATATATTCTTATTACCTTTGCATCGAATGACTATATGACATGAAGAAATTATTCCTCAAATACTTTTTGTGCAACTCGCAAACAAACTTAACCTTCGATTGATGATTTACCCATCTGTGACTTCCACGAGGTTTTCTCTTCAAAATTATAATGGGTACAGTCTCAGATTTTCAATTTCAAGTGTCTTCGTCTTCCAAACCTCAGATCGTGTTTCGACTATAGAACATACAATATAGATTAGGACAAGTTATCAAAAATAAAGAGATACCGAAATCGTTATACTCAAACCTTTATGCAATGATCTGAACTCCTTCTGAAAGGTTTAAAAGATGAATAACAAGATCTCCACACTACGATAGACGGCACCGAAAAAGAGTTGTAGGAGAAAATAAAGTTTGATCTCAAGTTACAAAAAAGATCGAGTTTTTTTTTCTATTTCTGTTTTTTTTTCCCGGAAAAAAATGGGCCTTTATTTGGGTTTCATAAAAAAATTTTGGGGTTAACAACATTTTTATTCATTCTTTCTCTTGGGCCAGATTAAAAAATTGAAACATGTTTTCCATATAATTGGTACATATATATTTTATTTATTATTATTACATAAATTTAAAATTAACTATAAGCTATATAAACAAGAATACAAAATTAGTAATAAAATAACCAAAAAATTTAAGAATTTATTTATTATGAATTTAAATTTTCAAATAATGTTAACATATTTTACACTTTAGAAAAAAATAAGAAAATTTAACACTTTATCAAGTTTTAACCTTTAACCCAAAAAAAAGAACACAATAGAATTTGAGAAGAATACAAACAAGAAAAAAATATTTGATTTTAATCACGAGAAGTTGAAAAAAGTTCATGTTAAGTCACTGCAATACCAATGAAGTTCCTCTTAAGTCATTGCAATACCAATGTCCATCTCATGAAAAGGTATCGATAAGATTTCTTATGTGTTCATATATCTGAAAAATCTCATTATTGTTTCAAATATGTTTCAGGGATCAACAGTCAAACAGTTTCTCCATCTTGATGATCAAAATAAATCCAAGTTTTTGGTGTGGATGGAAAACAACAAATCAAATTATGATGTTGAAGTTGCAGAGATATTAGATTGTTCTGCCAAAACTTATTTTGTTTGGAATTCAATATTTAAAAAGTGGGAACCAGAACTCAGCCGATTTAAGCATATTATCATTGTACTTTTTTCTTGGTTTTCTTATTCACTTTTATTGGAGAAGAATTGCAAAAAGACCTAAGATAAGCAAACTCTTGGATGATGGCATTTGCTTCAACTGCCTATATGTTGTCACTCTCTTTATCAAGATAGAATAGTTGAATAAAATCCTAACTTGCATGCTCTCTCTATTTATAGAAAATAAGGAGGAGGGATGACAGAAGACGAATACGTAATGCATATATTAATAACACAAACATACAATTACATTCATAACATTGCATAAGAAGTCAAGCACACGACATTACTATCACAAGTAACTTAGAAAAACAACTGAGCAGACCTTAAAGTAGAAGCAATCACACAAACCGTCAATACAAGACATGAGTTTTCAGCTAATATTAGTGTAATTTTTGACGAACTGGTATGCCCTTTTGAAGTAGTAACACACCTTGCAAAACTCTTTCATGTCATAACGGTTGCACTTTGACCCTGGGGCAAGGTTAACCATGTTGATATAGTAGTCTTGTGGTATAGTAACATCGATTTTGTTGAGTGAGAGCTTGAGACTTTCCCAGCATTTATCAGAGGTGGACATTTTCTTTGACCATTTGAGTTTATCTAAATACTTCATGCCTTTAAGATAGTGACCTCGGACAAGCATTAGCAAATCATAAACATACATACCGTTTTTATTGTTTCCAAGAGCTGCTAGACGTAGACGACGAAGACCTTTGTGTTCTTCATTGTGGACAAAGTATTGTAATAACCTTTCAATGTAGAAAGCTTGGATGTTATGATTCTGTAAGCAAAGTTCCTTTAACTTTGCATGTTCGTCCATCATCAGTACTGGATCAGAAACAAAATATCCGAGATCCATGTTTCGGAAATAGTGGCTGCGATCTAAGTTCGAGTCACCACTATCCCGTCGTAGTTGGAGTTCCCATTCGTATCGTTGGTGTAGGCGGCATCACTGTCGTCAGAGTTGTAGTTCTTGACAGAGTTTTCAGAAACCATATTGTTTTGTTTTTATTTCTATACTCTCACACTAATGCTTAGTTTTGTGAAGAAGAAAGCGTAGAAGAGTAGAAGTCGATGTTCAGCTAAACAAAGCAATTTCAGCTCTTTATAGGAAGGTTTGAAGAATCTATGATGCCCTAACCCACTTACTTGAAAAAAGCAAAAAACAGACGAAGACTGAACATAGAAGAAGACAAATGATGAACATGTATCAATCTATCACTCTCTGTAATTTTTGAAAGAACACTGTTGTTCAATGTGTTGGTATTATTTTCGAGGAATATTTTGGAAGTAGACAACATATCACTGTTGTTTAATGTGTTGCCACATAAATAAATGTCTTGCAAGAAAAATGGTTTTCAATAAAGCTTCTTTCAAGCTACAGAAAAAAGGTGATGTAAAAGGTGATAACACACTGATCAAAAACAACTTGCCTGCATCTCCCTAGATAAAGACAACATTGCCATGCGTTGGTTGTTTTCCTTGGTTTTTCTCAAGAGTTGTACAATTATAAATACAAATGTTTCTGGTCCGATTCACTTCATGTTTTGGTTAGAAAAATGTTTACCGTCTTCTCATATAAATGCAAAGTATTTTCTAACATATTGTTGATTGTATGAAGTTGTGATCCATAAAGCCTGAGGACTTCAGTGTTTGTTTATGCAATTCGAAAGCCTGGACTCTAATTATATCTATACATTATGATAAAACAAAATTCAATTATTTCTGATCACACCTATTAAAAGTTTGGTCGAAATATACAACTTCAATAGTATAGATTAATAGAATTCTGAGTTTATTATCATAATCAATCAACACAATTGTAAAAAGATTATATAATTTTCATTACAAAATTATAGTTGTTTAACTAATTTATAATTAAAAAATTATTAAAATTTATTATTAATCTATAAATTTATAATAAAAAACCGATCCTAACAAAAACCATTAAGACACTTGATGTACATTTTATGTTGACACTTGATTTAAAAATAAATAATAAATTTGACAAAGGAAACAAACCCGCCCTTTTAAAGAACAACGTTAAAATTTAGAATTATATTATTTTGTTCTACATATAAAGTGAATAACCCCATAAACTATTGAATCTAAACTTTGATGTGAACAAAAACAAAATATTATTGCATCGAACATACACTTACGCGGGCGTGCGGGTCAAAATCTAGTTTTGTTTAAACCAAATGAAATAATAAACCAATATAAATGTCAAATTATGAAAAAAGACAATTAATATACATACATTAAAATCAAATGGTTTTTTATTTTTTAATTATATTTGAAATTTCTCTAAACAAAGAAACTTTTTATAAATTAACAATTTTTGTAATTCTGGCCTTAATAATTAAAGAGTTTTTAATTTATTCAGATTATTATAATAAAATTTGTTCACGTTTTTATTCAAATTATGAAATGAGAGAAATATTTTATGTAGGGGGCCGCTTTCATCTACAACAATGCATCATTTTTCTCTTTTTTTCACTATTTTAACTTTTTCGAAAATTAATTTTCTGGGCCTAGACCCGATTGGAAGGTCAATGTTAGACCCGATTACCCGAACTAGCTTCTGGAAATACCCAACATCAACTGGTTCCGTGGGAACTCGACGACGTTCATCTCTGAATTACTGATTAACTCTCTCTCTCATTCTGTTGAGATTTGGTAGAATGGTAGTGATGGGTTTGTCAAAAGGTAGAGTGAAAGCATGGTTCAATAAGAAAATCACCGATCCTCTTCTCCACATCTTGCGTAGGTTTGTCTTCTCTCTAAGTCTTTATCATATCTCCGTCTGGGCAGGATCTGAAACTAGTACAGTTTTTTTTCTAGTTGGTTACTCTGATTCTGCTTCTCGGAGAAATGGGATTAGACCCATCTCATTTGCTATTATTCATTGATCCTTTTTGTCTTAAAACCTGAACTATGTTTGGTCTCTTAATATGGAACAGTAAAGGTAGAACCTTTTACTGAGTTTGGTTTTGTTTCCTTTCTCTGTAGAGGTACTGAGCCTAAGCAGCTGGCTTTCTCTGCCGCACTCGGTATTACCTTGGGAATATTTCCAATTTGCGGTATGTTTCTTTTTTGCTTTTGTTAAGTTTTGAGAGATTGCAATGTATCTTATTGGGGGTGGTTTTGAAACAGGTGTTCCTGTGTTTCTTTGTGGAGTAGCTATTGCATTTCTTGGATCTGCTTGTCATGCTCCAACCGTGATGCTAGCTAATATCATTGCCACTCCTCTAGAACTAGCGTATGTGGACACACATCCTTCACTGAGAAACGTTTTAATTTTCTATCGTAAAATTCTCTTCTTGACTTGGATCTCATGTCTCTTTTGTTAAAGACAGTCTGGTGGTGCCTTTCTTACGACTTGGTGAAAAAGTCACCGGTGGTCCTCATTTTCCTTTGACATCAGATGCCCTTAAGAAGGTTTTCACTGGCCAAGCCTCCCAGGAAGTCTTTTTAAGTATCGGTAACGCGGTAAGTTGTTACACTATATATATGACTCTTCTCTCTTTGCTTACTGGTCATAAAATTCCTTGTTCCAGTCCCTAACCGTATGTTATCTGGTTTACCATCTTGTAAATTTTAAGTCTTCAATTTTTTACTTCCTCTGGTTTATTGGTTGTTGCAGTTACTAGGGTGGCTTGTAGCAACTCCATTTTTCTTTATTGCGCTATACGTTGTCTTGCTTCCATGTTTCAAAATCCTGGTCCGCAAGTTTGGCGCCGTTGCTTCAACCCCAAAGACTCCTACAAGTATTGACATAGAACTCAACCCAAAGCCAAGATTCGCTTGATTTCAACAAGAGTTCTATTATCAACACCGAACTCTTGAAGTGTAACACTAATGTATAGGGTATACACAGCTTGCATTGTCAGATCCTTGCACTCTTTGTTTAAAACCTCCTTTTGAAAACGTCATAACCGTAAAGTTCATTTCTGTGGTTTCTTTTTTTTTTGGTTCTTGTGTTTATCATACGTCCTAGCACCAAATAGCTTAAAGAAGAGAATAGGATCGAGGAAGTCAACACTTTGTGAGAATTGTTGGAGATGGGTTATACCCCTCCACAAGGCCCATCAAATGGAGAAACTTAGCCCAACACGACAATATACTCGGCCCACCAGATAACATCAAAACGACTCAGCATGAGACGCGTTTACTAGCACGACTAAGAGTATTCTAGAAGAGTCGGCGGAAGTATGACTTACCCGGACTACTAAACGGGCCTAACAAGAATAAAGCCCAACAAGGCTAAGGTAAACTAGGGCGAACACGAAGATAAAGTCTATAAAAGGAGAGAGGCAGCAAAGGGAAAGGGGATCCGGAATTGGACTTACTGACTTGGCGGCTAGATCTAGGGTTTCTTAGCGACTAGGTGGTTAGATCTAGGGTTTACTCACCTTCACTGTTACTCACCATCTTGTATTTCCGGCTAGTCCGCCTCTTTACTCATCTCCTTGTAACTCCTTGTTCAGAGCTAATAAAGAACGTCTTTGTTCGCCCCCATCTTTCTCTTTACATTGTTCTAAACCATTTTCACCTCAAACAATTTGGCGCCCACCGTGGGGTCCTGAACAAAGCAACGTTATCAGATCTAGACATGCCAGACGACGGAACCGTCTCCGGAACCGCCGGGGAGGAGCCGACTCAGACTCCCGTACCCGAAACACCCCTTTCCGCCCGACTTCATGAGCTCCGTCATGGCGCGTTTCGCCAGACAAAACGAAATCCAAAAGGAGACTCAAGCTCAACTCGCCGCACTCGTAGCAGCGTTAACAGCAGCTCCCGCCGGGCACACGAGTAACTCTCAACCGTTCCGACGTCATCTCGTCAACACTAACCCGACAGCGCCGGTAGCCGACCATACCTCCGAAGAGTCGGAACCCACCGAGCCGCACGCTGCAGAAACAGTTCAAGTCGGCCCAGATCTCACGACTGTCCGTGAAATCGCCGAGCTCAAACTGAACCTCCAACAGATGAGCTCCACGATTCACAAGGTTACTAGCGCCGCTCCACAGATCGAGAGTGTTCTCGCTTCAACCAAGCGTACCCCATTCACCAGTACGTTGAATAGCGTAAACTTCCGCAAGATCGAGAAGCTGCGTGTTCCGCAATACAAACCCGGCGGTGACCCTGTAGAACATATGACTGCTTTCAACATCGCGATGGCCCGAGCGCGGCTACCCGACGATGAAAGGGATGCCGCATACTGTCAGCTGTTCGTGGAAACACTCCACGACCAAGCCTTGACCTGGTTCTCAGGTTTCAGGGAGAACTCCATCAGCAGCTTCAGAGAGCTTTCGTCGGCTTTCCTCAAAACCTACATCATGTTCACTAAGCGCGAAGCGACATCCTCCAGCTTGTGGAACCTAAAGCAGACTAAAGACCAAAGTCTCCGAGACTTTATGGAGCGCTTCAAGTCGATTGTCTCAAAGATCGACATCCCTGACCACATAGCCGTCGACGCTCTAATGAACACCCTCCATCTCGATTCCAAGTTCCGAGAGGACCTATACCGAAGCACCTCCACGACGCTCCAGGATGCCATAGCTCGTTCACACAACTTCATCCGCATGGAGGAGGACACGAAAGCAATCATAGGCAAACATAGCGCAGCAAAGCCGACAACGCCCAAGACCTCTGACGCAAAGCCGGAGCCGCGTCAACACACTTCCGGCGACAAGAAACAGCAAAAGAGCGGGCTTCTGTTTGTCGTCGACGAGAATAACACACCAGTCGCAAGTTTCTCAGTACGCGGCGAGCCATGGAACGTGTACAACCGAGAGACGGCAGCCCTGAAAGGTTTGGCTAGTCCTGCCGGACCGGCTCAACCAGCTTCGCCGGCTACCTCAGGAGCCGGATCTTCTAAAGGATTCGACCTCACCAAACACTGTTAGTACCATGACGTCAAAGGACACGATACAACCGAGTGTAGAACGATGTACGCTCCTCTCATCGGTTGAAAAAGGCGACTTCAAGATTCAGCCCCTAAAGCAAAACCCAAAATCCGGCAAGAGTTGGTCTAAGAACAAGGACAAACGCGCGCAGCGAAAGTCCAGTGGTAAAAACGGAGAGCAACGCCGTCCGGACGACAAACCTTCGGCCGACGCAGACAACGAAGCATCTTCAGCAGACGAGGGGCAACCAGCGAGTCGTCAATGTATCCAGGTAATACGATCTCAGCAACCTTTGTCATCTGACGACGAGGACGATAACTTACCGGTATCAAGCGACCTGCGGAGCTTCCTAAAGCGAAAGGGGACGACATGCAGTGACGTCAACAGCAGAGACCTCCGCCTCATGCTCCAAGCCAACAAGTCGCGACGCCTGGAAACCAAGGAGCCTCCCTTGTCGGTCGACAAGCCTGTCACCGATCTGCGCGACAAACTCAACGCTAACCTGACCGATTTACGCGCGCGACTAAACCGTTCCAAATCAATAAATCAACGGATAGAGCAGTCAACTTCGTCCCATACCATGGACTCGTCAAAGCCGAGCGACGAGAACGTCCCTGCGGATCTTCGTACATTCTTAGATATCAAACGAGTAGTTGCGAAACCACGGCTGAACGTCATCATGGGTGGATCACCTCCTTGTGGCGACTCTGTCCGCTCTGTCAAAGACTACCGGCGCCAAGCCGCGTCTTCGAGACGCTGGCCTACGAAGCCACCGAGCCACACGCCAATCAGCTTTTCCCCTGATGATTTGAACGGAGTCCACTTGCCCCACAACGATCCTCTGCTAGTCGTCCTTGAGATCGGTAAGTACGATGTAACCAAAGTACTAGTCGACACAGGAAGCTTAGTTGACCTCATCTTTCGTGATACGCTTGAAAAGATGGGGGTGGATTTCGACGACGTCAAATCATCCTCACGAACCTTGACCGGCTTCAACGGCTCATCGGAAACCATCCTAGGGACGATCCGTCTCCCAGTCCGCGCATGCGGAGTTACTCGAACGGTTAAATTCGCCGTGGTAAACACTAAAACCCCTTATCATGTCATTCTCGGAACCCCATAGATACATTCGATGCAGGCAGTCCCATCAACCTACCACCAATGCATAGAGTTCCCTGGGGTAGACGGAACAATCAAGACCGTCCGCGGAGATCAGCAGGCCGCTCGAGACCTGCTAATCGCCACAGTCAAGCTGCAACGTTCATCATCCCTAGTCAACTCTGTCTCTCATCCAATCGCTCGAACTTTCCCTCAGAAAGACGAGGTTCTGGAGATGCATATAGACGATTCCGATCCAAGTAAGACGGTGCGCGTCGGTGCACATCTAGCCGACGATATGCAGCGAGCATTGCTCACATTCCTGAAGGAAAATGTGTTCACCTTCGCTTGGTCTATGACGGACATGAAAGGAATCGATCCAGCAATAACTACCCACGAGCTCAACGTCGACCCCACTTTCAAGCCTATCCGCCAGAAANTGAAGGAAAATGTGTTCACCTTCGCTTGGTCTATGACGGACATGAAAGGAATCGATCCAGCAATAACTACCCACGAGCTCAACGTCGACCCCACTTTCAAGCCTATCCGCCAGAAAAGACGTAAGCTGGGCCCGGAAAGAGCGAAAGCAGTGAACGAGGAAGTCGAACGACTACTCGGAGCTGGCTCAATCACAGAAGTTCGTTACCCGGAATGGCTAGCGAATCCTGTGGTAGTCAAGAAAAAGAACGGGAAATGGCGCGTCTGCGTCGACTTCACCGATCTTAACAGAGCTTGCCCGAAGGACAGTTACCCATTACCCAGCATCGACCGTCTCGTAGAATCAACCGCAGGAAACGAGATGCTCACCTTCATGGATGCGTTCTCGGGCTACAACCAGATTATGATGCACCCCGATGATCGCGAGAAGACAGCGTTCATCACAGACCGAGGAACATACTGTTATAAAGTCATGCCATTCGGGTTGAAGAATGCCGGTGCTACCTACCAGCGACTCGTCAACCGCATGTTCGCCGATAAACTCGGTAGCACCATGGAAGTTTATATCGACGATATGCTCGTCAAGTCGCTTCATGCCAAAGATCACCTTAACCATTTACGCGACTTCTTCGAAACGCTAAACAAGTATGGGATGAAACTGAACCCAGCGAAGTGTACGTTTGGAGTCTCCTCCGGCGAGTTTCTAGGCTAAATCGTTAACCAGCGAGGGATTGAAGCCAACCCGAAGCAAATATCAGCTGTGCTCGATCTCCCAAGTCCTAAGAACAGCCGCGAAGTCCAGCGGCTAACTGGTCGCATCGCCGCTCTTAACCGTTTCATTTCTAGATCAACCGATAAATGTCTCCCTTTCTATGACCTTCTCCGTGGAAACAAGAAATTCGTTTGGGACGATAAGTGCGAGGAAGCCTTCTCCCAGCTCAAGAAGTACCTCACCACCCCTCCAGTCCTCGTTAAGCCAGACGAAGGAGACGTCCTCTCACTCTACATCGCCGTCTCTAGCGTAGCGGTTAGTAGCGTCCTCATCAAGGAGGACAGAGGCGAACAGAAGCCAATCTTCTACACAAGCAGGCGCATGACTGGTCCGGAAACTCGGTATCCAGCTCTCGAGAAGATGGCTCTCGCCGTGGTAGAAGCAGCCAGAAAGCTTCGACCCTACTTCCAATCACACTCGGTTGAGGTGCTGACCGATCAGCCCCTCTGAACTGTCCTGCAGAATACGAATCGCGCCGGTCGACTAACCAAGTGGGCCGTGGAACTCGGGGAGCTTGACATAACGTATAAAAATCGCACAGCCCTCAAAGCTCAGGTATTGGCTGACTTCATTGTCGAGTTAGCACCCGAACTAGAACAGGACACCCAACTCCCGAGTCAGAATTGGATATTGCATGTGGACGGCTCCTCGACGAACAAAGGTTCAGGCGCAGGTGTTCAACTCCAATCCCCAACTGGCGAACTGATACGACAATCGTTCAGCTTCGGCTTCCCAGCGTTAAACAACAAAGCTGAATACGAATCATTGA